TGATTGGCTGATGGTCATGTTTTGATCGACGTAATTGCTGACTCAGGATAACCAATCATTTAACTGTCCCTGCTGTTGCTTCCTTCCAGTGAACTAAAATTTCTCACCGAAGAGGTCTAGCAACAACTTACCATTGGAAGATATAATTTACTAATTTCTTCCTGTTAGTTCCAGTTTCAGTAATTTTCACTGGAATGTTCCAGTGACCATCACTGCTAAGAGTAATACGTACTATATGCATCGTAACAAGTAGATATAGTCAAGCATATTTCTTTCTATATAGTGTATACTCTCTATACGAATGTTGTGAAAATGTGGCTTTTGGCTTTCAATTTGGTCATTTTTTATTTACCAGATTTATATTATGCCGTCAATAAAATTTTTCATAAATACAGTAATTTAAACTTGAAGGTCCAAAGTTTCATTTCTTTGGCAGTGCTATATTATACGGATCCAACTTTTATTTACTACATATGCCAATATATAAGATTGCTATACTTGCCGCACAAACCAAAATTTTTAAAATCCCACCCAAATCCTAAACCTAATAAAATCGTCCCAAAGCCTAATCTCGAACGTAACAAAATCGACCCAAATAATGTTCCAAACTCTAGAAATTTTTGTCAAAAAGTATAGTTAATACATAATAGTGAATAAACATCTCAAAAAAAAATAATCCAATATTATTGAATATAAATATTTACCTCCTGCTTAGCTGCATCTTATAAACTACTTTTTCTTAAAGAGTAGATATACATAAACGTCTAAATTATTCCTTTTAATAAAAAATTGGTTCGATATTTAGTCATCGAACTTAATTTTTTTTAGTGGCGAAATTAATTTTCATAGTTGTCGAAATTTTTAGTGAAATTGTTTAAATTCTTGATGCAAAAATTCGATAGTATAGTTATTTTGTAGAATTCATATAAAAACTAGCAATATCGAATAATATTTTTTTGTTGAGGGAAAACGTAATAGTTGACCCTTGCAAAAAAATTTTAAGAAAGTGTATCGAAATATTTGTCGAAATTACTTTGTTTAAAAAATAATTTAGATACCCATGTATAGGAGTAGATTATAAAAAATCCGTTATATCAAAGAAGATATTACTTCTCCTTGGTCTATTCTATCCACTGCTGTGAATCTTCCAAATTCACCAGCACCATATTTAAGACGATCACGACTATTCTTTCTTAGTATCCAATCTTCGCGAAGACCTATAATGCGCCTTTTTGTTGAAGTTTCTTTCTATTTTTTCTTATAACAGTTGTGAGGCTGGTAGATTCTCCTCTAGGATACTATCATCGAAGATGTGGCTTAGAAGTCGAGGTGTAATTTCTGATTCTTTTGGCTCCGTTTTTCTTTTTTCTGTTTGCCAATAATTGACTTTCTTTAGAATATTACTTTAATAATAATTAAATTTATTTAACAAATTAGCATGAAATCATTGTTATCTTTGCATAAACAAGGTCAAAAATATGAAAAAAAAATAATGAAAATAAAGAAATCAAGAAACCTTTATATAACTTTTTTTATTGACACGTTTTATTGTTTTGATTTTGTAAAAAAGATGACCATAAACGCGATACTAAATTGGGGAAAAGACGTAATCATGCATACTACAAAAATTTTCCAAGCGCATGACCATGCCAATCAAATTGCACATGGCATTATTAATTTCCGATTATAGGGGACGTCTAAAGCGGAGGTAACTTATATTTAATAATTTTTTCGATTAATTTAGGGTTAGGGTCTTCTATATTGGGGTTAGGTTAGGTTTTTTATAA